CTCAGCTTCATAACCTCGCATGTGGTGAACAGTTTCTGTGGTGTATTAAAAGCTGAACACACCTGCCACATGGTCCCACTTCCATCCTACCTGTCTGCCAAAACATCAGGCATCATGCATGTGCAAGCCTGCCTGTTTTTTCATACAGCCAACCTCTCCATACCCCAGCAGGTCCAGCCTGTGGCTGTCACCCTTATGCTGTAGCATAAGTCCCAACAAAGCCTCTTTTGGACAGCATATTCTTGCCCGTCCTTGATGTCCATCTCGAGTAGAGTGCACCAAGCTGGTACACAAGTAGCCAGCAGTGGAGCAATGCAGAACAGCCGGAGCCACCATCATGGCAGTCAGAAGAGTTCCTGAGCCCTGCTGGTAGCCGTTGGCTCTGAGTGGCAAGGTGGGCTTCGACCACTAAAGAGCCGATAGCTGCTGGTTCAAAGGCCACTAACAGAGCTACCTTAAGACAGCTGCACTTTGCCAGTTTGTGATTTCTGCAGGAACTCAGGAAGAGCCCTCAGCTGATGGGTAACATTTTAGAAGCCAGTACAGGGAGCCTCCTTTCAGAGGGCCCGAGGAAGAGAGAGGACAGTGGTAAAGGCTGTCAGCAGGCACAGGAGCCAGCCCACATCTGATTTCCATCTTACAACTGGTAAGGAACCACAGTCACTGGTGACACTGCAACATATACAAATCTCAAAATAATTATTCTAATTGGAAGAAGCCAGCCCCCTCAAGTCTGTATTTTGATGTGTATTTGAAAATCATCACTTGTGCATAATTCCAGGAGACGCAAAGCAGTACATAGGTCCGGGAAGCAAGTCACCGCTTGGAGGCTGATGGGGGAGGAGCAACAGGGTGAGTGTAGGGAGGGCAGCAAGAGGCATCCAGTGGTGCACTTTAAATCTGAGCCCTGTGCTGTGTGTCAGTTATGCCTCAAAAATGTGGACAATCTGGCCGGGGATGTAGCTCAGTAGTTCCACCACCTGCCTCACAAGTGCAAGGACCCGAGTTCAATCCTTGGTACCCCCCCCCCCAAAAAAACGTGGACAATCAAAAAGGTGGAAAAACTCACTGACTCCTGGGAAAATATGCAATTGGTGTCTCTGAAGAAACAAAGGAGGAGGGACAAAAATATTTGAAGGAATAATGGTAGAAACTCTTCCACATCTGAGGCAAAACTATAAACCCGCAGCTCAAGAGATTCTATGACCTGCAAGCAGGAAAAAGGTTCACCAAGACCTACTGTAAATAGATTGCCTAGACATACCACAGAAAGCAGCTCATCTGCAAAGGCAAAATACCTGAGGCAATCAGGGAGTGGTCACATAGCATCAGCTCCTCCCTAAAGCGAGGGTTTACACAGAGGCTGTCTGATCTGCGTTGGCCTGTTCTGTGGACGTAGGAAATTGTAGAAAAACATAAAGTGTAGGATCCCATTTTTGAGAAGAAATTTGTAACAGCCCAGCACAAGACAGTGCCAACATGCTTTTTATCTATTTGCCTAAGTCTGAGAAATGTGCTTAAAGCAACAACAGAGTGTTCTGTGTTCTCGGTAGCAGGTGGCTGGGATTGATGGGGAGTTGGACAGTGTGGCAGTGATTCCGCACAAGGTGTCTTTCTGGCCTTTGTCCTATTTGCTTCAACAGCTTGGGGTCATTGGAAGCTGTTTACGGACCGATCAGCCCACGGAGGGACACAGGGAGTGACACAGGGTCACAGGCCAACCCGGGTCAGAGTTCGCGGCCCGGTGCCGCTGCTCTGTGCTTGGGCCCTTGGGCTGGTCATTTAACTCCTCAGAACTAAAGCGCCCCCCACGTGGGCCTCAGAGAGGGCGAGGACGACCTTTGGTGGGCTGTCATGGCAGGGAGCTTTCACGATCATTTTCCTGGCTGCATCACAAGTCTGGCGGTACTTGCAGAGAGACTGCATGTGCGCTGCCCAAATATAAATTAACTCACCGGAGGCAGACTTTTCAGAAGATGGTGGAGATGAAAGAATTCAAACGCAAAGCAGGGATTCATCTCCCAGTGACCCAGCCTGCACTCCGCCGGGGTCATCAGAGCCGCTGGGAGGAAAGCTGCATGGGTTCAGCCCAGAGATCCGATTAGTCACCCTGGGGACTGGGACTGCGTGACAGGAGGGCTGGGCGGAGCGTGGTAATCTCCTCGGCGGCGGGGGAAGCTGACCTGCCGTCCACAGTCACTGAGGTCAGGGTGGAAGGGCTCAGAGCCAGGGGGAGGTGAGCCTGTTGCAAAGCCAGCAGCTGCTGGTTGCCTTGTCTACCAGCCCAGGTGGCCCCAGAACAAGCACGGTGGGGCTGAGGGAGCTCTCCGAGCAGCCGTGGAGCCCAAGAACACAGCAGTCTGAGTCTCAGCTTCCCAGGGTCAGCAGGAAATTCTAGGAACTGGGTGCGGATCTGCCTCGTGACCTAGGCCTGAGGAGGAGGTGCGCAGGTTGGAGGCCCACACCACGAGGTGCCCCGGGAAGCCCACCAGGCCTGCCTGGCCGTGGGGAGGGGTGCGTGCCAAGGGGCACCAGTTTCTCACAGCCCTGGCCGTGGTGGGGGGCTCCTTCCTGGTTCCTTCAGCCGAGGGGAGTTCTCTGACCAGCTGCCACCAGTCCCAAGTGTAATTCGAGGGCCGGGCCTTCAGGGAACTTTCAGAAATGATGTCGGAACCTCAGTTTGTTCGCTGACCAAATGAGGATCCTAAGAGGCCGGTCACGGGGCTGCTTTGAGGACAGATGGCTGAGGTCAGCGGCAGGCAGGGGCGGGGCTCCCTCACCCTGGAAAGGAAGAGAGCACCTAGCAGGTGACATGGGTCTCCCCGCAGAGGGTGCGCTCAGACCTTTTTGGGGCAGGGGAGTCCCTAGACCTCAGAAGATAAGGACAGCTGCTGAGCAGAGACCCATGTAGGCAGAGCCATGTCTCCACACTAAGCAAGGGTCAGAGAGGGGCCTCCCTGTGAGCTCAGCCACACCTCTGTGGCCTGTGTCACCCAGTGCCCAGGCCGAGCTCTTAAAACAGTGTTTCTGCAACAATAGGGAAGAGGAGCCCTGCTGATTGCCAGTCCAGGTGCCCTAGCTTGGTCTGGGAGCTCAGCGGGAGGCAGGACTCCTGGTGGGACAGCAAGGGACCTGGCTGGGCCTGCAGCCCGCTCCCTGGACAAGGACAGGTCTCAGTCTTCTCCAGCGGCATCTTGGTGTCCCGAGGGCCCAGGCAGAGCCAGGAGGACAGAGGCCAGGCGCCCACTCTTCTCCCGGCTGCCTGCCCTGTGTGGGGAAGGTCTGCACTTTTGAGGTGGCTTCTGGGAGCAAGAGCTCGGGAGCTGGGCCGTGCGCTCAGCCCCACATAGGCCAGTCCACATTCACAGAGGGCAATGACAGGCACCCAACCCTGGGCTGCTCACCGAGGGGTGTTCAGAGCAGGGCACTAGAGGTCTGTCCCCTTTGATCCTTACAGCAAGCTGGCAGGAAGGTATTATTTCCAGTTCATAGCTGAGCCTCAGAGCAGCTGGGACACAAAGCTGGGATCACACAGTCAAGAATGCCGAGTCTACGTCTGAGCCCAGAGAGGCGGGTCTCTGAGGGCCATTCTTCACACCGCCTCTGTCTGTAGCCAGGCTCCCGAGGGTCGACAAGGTGTCTGCAGGTCAGCAGGTGCCAGGGAGCACTGGCCTGAGTCCCAAACTGAGAGGGCTGAGCCGGGGAGGGCAGGGAAACCTGTTCCGAAGACTTCTCCACAGCCTCAGCCCTGCAGGAACCCGCCGGCCCTCCCACCGGGCTGCAGAGGGAAAAACAGGGTTTGCCAAGCCAGAGGAGCAAAAGGTGCAAATGATCAGCTGCAGCTTCCCCTCCACGGGCACGCTGGAGGAATTGTGGGATTGGATTTCCACACTTAACCCTTCTTCTGAAGTCATACAGCAGGCAGGGAGGGCCAGTTCCACAACCACGGTTGCATGTGATTGCCCTTGTGCAGTAAACTGGAGATGAGATGCTTTGAATTAAATTTTCACTGAAAGAGTTTGCCAAGAAGATAGGCCAACTCTGGAAACCGAAGTGCTGCGGAGGCCTCTGCCTGATTACGCTGCGGTTGTAAGAGGCGATTGGACAGCAGGGCAGCGCCTCGCCAAGAGTCCAGTATGAGGCACCCGCTCTTCCCTGGGCGCTGCACAAATCCCAGGATGCCGTGCGCCTCCATCCACAGGCCTGCGCGTGGGGCAGCTCTGCTGTGTTCGTGGCACAGGGAGCCAGAGGCTGGCCGTGTCATGCTGTCCCAGAGCTGTGGAGTTTGGGGTGTGGGCGTGTGGCAATTTCTAAGTGGCTCCCCCATTGCTGAACAGCTAGATCACCCCCAATCTGTGTCGCAGCAAATTTCTGCATTTCAAAAAGTGTTTCTGTGTCCTCTGGGTGAGGTTTCCAGAGTCCAGCCTCCTGCCTGCAGGGACGCATGCTGCACCCTCTTTGCTCTTCTCGTGGTGGCAGGGGGTCATTTGCCTTTCCTTCTTCCTCGCTGCTTGTAGGACAGGTGGGAGTTAGAATCTCTGGTATCTTGGCCGAGGGAAGAGCTGAGGGCCTGAGAAATAACCTGTGAACCGGAAGCGGCTGTCTGCTGATTCCCAGGGGCCAACGGCATTCACGGCATTCACGCAGTGCGGGTCCTAGCTTGCACTTGGTGACACACACAACCTGACCCCTCCCTCAGCCCCAGGCCTCAGGGCCAATGCCCTCCCCTCCTGTTCAGCCTGTGTTTCAGCATGGATCCTAAATGTTTCCCCAAAAGTGGCTTTGGGAGGGGTGGGATGAGAGGCTTCTGACAGTCAGCGAATCAGTCCTCTGACACACGCACGCAGTCTCAGGGGCTACTGGGAGGCAGGGGTGGGAACTTCAGGAGGGGCTGGGTTGGAAGAAGCAGGTCTTTGGGGAGGTGCCCTGGAGGGGTTTGGTTCTCTCTCTCAGCTTCCTGCTGTTCCGTGCTTCCAACATGATGCTCTGCCTCCAAACAGGCCTCAAAGCAATGGAGCCAGCCAGCAATGGACTGAAACCTCTGAAACCATGAGCCTGAATGAACCCTTTTCTCATGCTGAGTTGATGATCTCAAGTATTTTGTCACAGCAACAGCAAAAACATCTGGCATTTGGAAGACGCTGAAACGCTTCTTCTCTCAAGCAGCCTTCCAGGACTGAGACGAGAACATACCATGGAGTTCACACACACACACACACACACACACACACCCACCCCTCCTCACCCTGTCACTCCCTGAGAACAAAGTGTGCCTGACGCCCATGACTGAGGCTGGCAGGTGTTCTGTCTGGTTTGTTGCTGGCAGAGACAGCAGGGAAAGGCGGTGGTTTGGAAGGAAAGCACACAGGCCACTGTCCCGGCTTTGCCCTCCGCTGTGTGCATGGGGAGGCCCCGCCCATCCGCCCTACTGGCCTGAGCTGTGGGATTCCAGGTGGAGCAGCAGGGACAGGAGGCCCTAACCTCCCCATACCCTTAGCAGGGTTAGCACTGTTCCCCTCCCCCTTTTTTTTGGTACTGGGGATCGAACTCGGGTCCTTGTGCTTGTGCAGCAGGCGGCGAAACCACTGAGCTAAATCCCCGGCCCGGCACTGTTCCCCTTTATGCTGCAGCATCAGTCATGGTAAAGCCTCTTCTAGTTGGCATCTTCTTCTTATCAATGATTTCCATCCTGAGTAAGGACGCTGAGCTGGCCCTACTGGTACCACTTGGTTCCACTAAAGGCTGCTGCACTACAAGTCACCAGCAGCCGGGGCTCGTAACACCAAAGGTGGCTGCTAGCAGAGAATGGCAGAAAACAGCAAAGAACAGCCAGAGCCGCCACCTCAGGTGCCAGTAGCTGCTGGCTTCAAGTGGCAAGGGGTGGGGTGGCACTGACACTACAAGAGCATTCAAAGCCCAGCACTAGGAGAACTGCACTTTGCCAGTCCATGATGGCTACACATATTGAGCAAGAGCCCTTAGCTGGTGAGTGACACCCTGCAAGCCGGGATGCGGACATACCCCTTGGAAGGCCCGAAGAAGCAGGCAGACAATGGGGATGTTCATGAGCACCCGATTTCCATCCTGCAATGGCTGAGAACTAAGTCACTCTGGCTGGGACATCCCCTTGGCAGTGGGCAGGTCTGTGGATGAGAAAGCAGAACAGGGGCCTCATTAGGTCTTCCAGGAGTTGGCAGCAAACTTCACTGGAGAGATTCCCCTGGGAAGCAGGTGGAGGATGGGGCTAGAGAAAAAGAAACACCTGGTAAAGGAAGGCACCAGACGGCCTTGGGACCTGCACCACAAGTCCAGAGAGGGAAGACCTGACAAGAGCCGCCCACCTCCAGGAGACACAGGGGAAGCAGAGGGGAGTGAGGAGCCGCCTCACTTGGGAAGGCTCTTATTCAGTGTGTGCGAGTGTGTACTCACCCGTGCACTAACTCACACACAGATCCATGTGTATTCTCCTAGCGCCACTAGAGACCCAACAGATGTCTGCAGGCCCCCTTACTAAACGCCTCTAAGTAACCAAGAACAAGGCCTCCCCTGCCGGCCAGCTATCCCACAGCCAAGGCCTTGAAAGGCAGGTCAAGGGCAAGCAAAGAAACAGACAAAAAGCAGCTGCATACAGGCCACTGGAAGGCAGAGGTGCCCGGAAGCCAGTCCAGCTATGGCAGGTTGGGGGAGGGGGGCTCGACCCCCAGTAAAAGCCGCCGGGAACACGGGCCCTCCATCTTCCCGGAGCCCCCACCTGATCCTTTACCAGGGTGGCTACTTGTCTTCCCACCCCTTCCTTTTCCTCTTTACAAACTAAGTGTCTTCCTTTCCTTAAACCTTGTCCCTCTCATTTTTTACCGGGGCGGAGTTTAAGATCCTGGTGGGCTGTGGGGACAGCAGAGTAGCAGTTCTTGTCCCCAGGATGCGACATGTTTGGGTCCCTGGCCGGGAATCAGAGGCTACAGCAGGCTGGCAGTCCGAGCCTGTGTCATCAGCCGGAATTCGGTTTCTTTCCGGCTGTGGTCTCTGCTTCATTCTCAACACAGTCAAAACTAGACGAGCCCGAGGTCACTGTCCGCTGGGACTCTGCCCAGCAGCTGAAGGTCTACTGTGATGCAGCGTGGTGCCCACTGCGGCCCCAGCGCCAGCCCGTGTCCCGGAAGCACGGCTGGCCCGACTGATCTCCAAGGACAGTGTCCTGCAGCAGACGGAGGATCCAGGCGGGAGAGGGGCGCAGGACAGCGGCAGGGTGCTTCTGCTGGCCACGCATGTCGCCTGGAACGCCTCGAAATCCACACCAGGTTGCCCGCTCTCTTCTCCCCGGCTTATTCTGTGACCCTAGCCCCTCCTCCAGAGAGCCGGTACCCTGCACCTGCACCTGCACCAGAGCCTGCCCGGTGGGACGAGCTGAGAGGAAGACGGGCGCCCCTGCACAGGCTGTGGCCCCAGCTGCGAGAACGCTGCCTCCGCTGGGGGCCGGCGGAAAGAGGGCATCTCCTCCAGGGGCCGCCTTGGGGTGGGGGCGGGAGCAGCTGCCCACAGCAGGCGTTCCCGCGGCTCTGCGGCGCTGCGGGCTGTGGCCTGGACTTCTGGACTTCCTCGCTGGTTTGCACCACGCTGAGTACTAGCCGGGGCGGAAGCAGCCAGGATGCCCTCTGGCAAGGGCCCTGCCTCTCCCCCTGCGCTCCTGCAGCAGGGTCAGGTAACAGGCGGGCCAATCGGCTTAGCTTTGTGGGTCTCCACGGCAACCTCAGCCCAGCCTGCCGGCCTCCAAGCGCACGGGAGGGAGCTCAGCTCCAGCCCAGGGGACTCCGCTCCCCAAGGCCGCCCAGCTGCTTCCCTCAGGCCTCCCTCAGCACTGCAGGCTCCTTTTGGCAGAGCTTTTTGGAGACAGAAGGAGCAAAAGGCGAGAGGCGGCGGCCAGCAGCAGCAGAAAGGGTGAGGAGGGAGACGGAGAGGATGTAGTCCACCCTCCCAGGCCTGCTTCCTACGCTGCTCAACTTTCTGCTTTTCCTGATACTCCCAGCCTGGGAAGTAAAAATCGGGTGTGAGACCAGGACCCCTGGAAAACGAGGTAAGTGGGAGTCTCCCCACCCCCGCCCAGCGAAGCTGCGCCCTTAGGAGCTCCTGTGAGGGGCGGGTGGTGAGTCCTGGTCAGACACACAGGATGCAGGCTCAGGTCGGCCAGCCCGCAGCGGGTCTCCAGGGGACGATCAGGCGGGATCGGATAGGGTGGGGTTTGTCGGGGTCAGCCCCTTCCACTGTGCCCCTCCGGTTTTACACCTGCCTCAGAACAAGGAGGACCGAGTGCCAGCCACTCTGCATGCTGGCACTCAGAACCACGGCGAGCACCTCCTGAGTGCCAGTGTGGCCCGCGGACACAGCTTGAGCCCTCCCGGTGGTCACAGCTGGGTGAGGGAGGTGTTTATTACAACCCTGACCAGCCCCAGGCCCCTGGGACTGTGACACCTCACAGGGCTGGCGAGGGCCAGGCTTCAGGGTGGTGGCCCTTGGTGGGTCCCCGTCGGGTGGACGGAGGACACATGGGTTGGGCTGCGTCATGCCTAGTGGATCACAGGTTATTTTTTCTCTGATGCCGGGGAGAACCAAGATCAGTCAGTACTGTGGGAGTTTGGCTGTGGCCCCTGGCAGCAAGAGGCCCAGGAGGAGGATTAGAGAGGGGTGTGCCTGGAATCTACGGAGAGGCCTCAGGCCAGGGGAAGGGGCTGGGGCTCTGGGACAGCCTGGTGCAGGCGAAACTCCGTGCCCAGGCCTTGGAGGTCCCCAGCTGGCCCTCCTGCCCTGGCCTGCAGATGCTTAGCTCTGCTGTCAGCACTCAGCTTTGGAAGTGGACGAGCTAGCTTGGGCACGCCAGCTTTGGACTAAGAAATCAGCACTCCTGGGCAGGGCCCCTCCTCCCTCGAGGTGGGGTGTGTGCTGGCGTAGGGCCTGGGACCTTGTGGAGGTGGTGGATGCTGCCCCCTCCCGCAGTGAGCAGGGCCTGGGTCCACTCTGCTCCCACCACTGAACCCCGGGAGCCCTTGCTGCATCCAGACTCCACTTCCCCTGGAGGCAACAAGATGTTTTTCTGGCATTGCTAACGAGGTGCAGCTGGTAGTCGGGTCTCCTAGGGAGAGGGCAAAGCCCTCAGCCTCAGGGGTGCTCAGAAACAGGCCAAAGAGAAGGCTCAGAGCAGGCAGGTGGGCGAGGGCGAAGAGGAAAGGACAGTCAGGAAAGTGGAGCTCTGCTGCTCTCGGCAGCCATGGGGCCACTGCCCGCTTCTCCCGCCTCGGGCTGCAGACAGGCAGGCAGGCCAGGAAGCGGGTTGAGGTCTGGCCGGCACCAAGCCAGGGGACCGTCCTTCTTGAGCCACCAACCCTGGGAACACAGTCTCAGCGGTTCCAAGTGAATCCATTTCCAGAGGAAACCAGCTCTGCCCCCAAACAGCTAACAAGGGAGTGTCCGAGAGAGCTCGTGACGCAGGGACAGGCGTGGGACTCCATGGACGTGAACGGCAGGAGAGCCCAGTGGCAGGGCTGGTAGAGTCTGTGACATCCCCGCGCGGCCTGCATGCAGAATGTCCCGGAAGTAAGGACATTAAAGAGGGCAGACTCGAGCTGTGACCTTGGCAAGAGAGAGGCCACGGGTGCCTGACACCAGTGTGGCCTGCAGCTCACTCACAGAGGAAGGAAACCCTTCGTTTCAGTTCAAGGTGAGTGGAAATAATGGCTCTTCCCCACCCAAGCTCATAATCTCGGCAAGTGTGGTTGCCCACACCTGTAATCCCAGCACTCTGGGAGGCTAAGGGAGGAGGACTGGAAGTTTGAGCCCAACCTGGGCAGCCTCGTAATTTAGTGAGACCCTGTCTAAAGAATAAAAAATAATAAGAAAAATCTCCAGTACCATGAAAAAAAGAAAAGGAAAGAAAGGAGAGAAAGGAAAGGAAAGAAGAAAGGGAAAGGGAAAGAAAGAAGGAGAGGAAAGAAAGCACTTTTCCGTCCTCCGAGTCCTCCCAGGAACTGGACAGGAATCCCTGCACTCAGTGCCAGTGCCCGCCACAGACGCAGGGACCAGCTTCTTGTTCGTCTGCAAAGCATGCATGAGACACCGGCCCATCTGATTTCACAGTGGGCTGAAGTAAGTACCTTAGCCCCATTCCACACAGAGAAACTGGGGCTCAGCCACAAAGGTGACCTGGACACAGTCTGGCTCTGCCCGGGAGGAGGAGGATGCAGCCTCTGCTGAAGTCCACCAAGGGCACCAAGCAAGTGTCCGAGGCCAAAGGGTGTGACTCAGACCCTGGCCACAGCAGGACTCCGGGAGAGGGAGCAGCCATGCTGTTTCCACTGCAGGCCGTGGGTGGACGGAGAGAATGTCCCCAAGGTTCTCCCAGAGGCCACCGGTCTGCAGGCCTCGGGATCCGTCCCACATGTAGGGACGACGCTGCTCTCACCGCACCAGACCAAGGCTTGCAGAGTCCTCACATGCACCCCTTTGAATCTCGGGGGGTCACTGGGTGTGGGCCACGCAGATGTGTGAACCCCAGTGCATGAGCGAGGACACCCGCCCGGCTATAGGTAGAGCTCTGAGGAGCTTCCTGGGCACCGCGGGGGTACAGCGCCACTGAGGCTCTGTTCCCTCCCGGGGTACCGAGTCTGCCCTGGGCAGCGCTGAGGAGCGAGCCAGCCAGCCGGGATGAGGGCAACTAGGCATTTCTAGCTGCTCAGTCATGACCTTGTCCAACGTGTGGAAAACTTCGGAGAGTGGAGCCTTACACACCACAAGTGGCCCTAGCGAAAACCCGGGTCAGCATTCTGCCGTGGCTGCCCTGCTCACGCTTCAGAAGATTTGCACACTAGACATTGCAGGCCCTGCAGCAGCACCTCCCAACACTCCCCTCTCCTGGATGCCACTTTAGACCTGAGAGAATGAACGCCGTTCCTTAACACCAGCTCCCTATTCACACTTGCCCAGCGGTCCTGATACTGCCAGCTAAGGGGAGGCCTGCCGCCTTCATGGAAGCCTCCCGGTCACCGGCCCGAGCTGGGACCTTGGAGTTGACACCAAGCAGTGTGGCCCTGGGGGGGGGGGATGTGCAGCCAGGGCAGGGGCAGGAGCCACAGATTGTCCCTGCCCTGTCAGTTCCTGGGGGCCCTGGGATAAGACGGCACCCAGCACCCGGCTCTCTGTCCCTCCCCTCCTCTCCCTCCCTCTTTTGCCCTTAGGAACATAATCGGACCTTCCCAAGAGCCTCTGGGGTAGCAGCTGGCACTAGGGGCAGAAGTAGCTCCAGCAGACAGCTTGTCTGCCAGCCTGCCAAAACCTTGCCCAGGTCACGAGGGAGCAGTGTCTCCCCAGAGGTGCCGCCTGGCTGCCAGGCTCGGGGACAGCAATCGGGACTCAGGTGGCCCTGGGCCCGAGCACCTGCCTAGGAAGCCAGCCCAGGACCCCAGGAAGAGGACCCCACGAGGCTGCCCTTCAGGCTGTCCAGCCCAGCCTCCCCAGGGGTCGGGCGAGGTCTGGGGGCGCAGGAGGCGGCTGTTGTAAGGGTGCAGACAGCCCTGACTGCAAAGGCTGGGTGCCCCATTGATGTTTGCGGCTCCCTTACAATGGTGTGGGATGGAGTGGGCCTGATGAGGAGGAGGACAGCTGGGGGCCAGGAGCTGCCTCACCCTGCAGAGCTGTGCACCATCAGGAGCTCTGAGGTCTCGAGGGACTGTCACTGTGGAGCGATCTGCCAGGAACCGAGCAGAACAGGTTTCAATACATTAGCCTAGTCTGTAATTTAACAATGCTTAGATATACGAGTATGCATATAGCATTTGCTTTTATATGACTGTATGATGTCCTTAAATATACACGTAAATAATCATAGTTATTATATATAAGTTGAGAAAAAGTATACTATTTAAAATAACTTTATGACTTTAAAATGTCCACATATTCACAAGCTATGCCTGTATTGTCTGCAGGCATCTACCTACTAGCACAGCTGCATGCATGCAGACACAGAGCCCAGGCAGCCCCACTGGGACCTGCCACTGTGAGGGTGGGACCCCGCTCAGGTCACCACGCCCTGACCAGGCCTCAGTGGCTGGGGGAAGCTGTTGGAGGCCACTCTGCCCTCAGCGCAAGCTGTCTTTAGGAGGCCCCGGGCTTCTCCCCTGCCCTCCACTGCGCCAGGGCAAAGAACAGGGCCCGGGGAGGACAGGGTTAGCCAAACGACATGTCGGGGAAGCTGAGAAATGGATAAGGAGGGACGTTGGGATTCATGTGAATCAGCGGGACAGTGAGGACTGCTCCATCCAAGTTTCGACGTGGGCCAGCTCCTCTGCTGGGTGCTGGGTGCTGGCAGGACGACTCACAGACCTCACTCAGCCCGGAGAGGGTGCTGGGCACGTGAGCAGTGCCCACGGAGCTCCGAGCAGCCTGGCAGCAGAGCAGGAGGCACTGGGGAGGTCAGGGCGCTCTCCTGAGGGAAGCGAAGTGTAAGCTGAGAGGAGAGACTTTCTCAGGAAGCTGGAGATGGGACGTTCCAGGGCGTGCAGCGAGGCACACCCACCGTGCCGCGCCTGAGACCGAGTCCTGCACCATGGCTCCGTCTGGGCAGGAAGCAGAAGCGGGTGGGAGCAGAAGGGGGCGTGGCCTGGGCTCCGGAATGGCGTTCCCTTCCCCATCCTTAGAGCCACAGCCACATCTGATGGCACTGAAACGGCAGCTCATTCCCCCATTCCTTCACCGCCCACCCATCCACCCATCCAGTCAGTGGTCATTCCCAGGCCTGCACTGAGCAGGGCCCTGTGGGGACGCGGCGAGGAGTCAGTTGCCCACTCACCCAGCCCCGTCCGAGTCTCACCTGCGTGGGAGCCGGCCCTGCAGCCGGGCCACTTGCCCTCGGCCCGCAAGGCTGAAGCCCGTCCGCGTCCTTCAGCCTGGTCCCGTCCACAACACCCTCCGGGCCCTTCAGTCCTCACTGTCACCCGTCACCCTCTCCACGTCAATACGGACTGCACTGCGCAGTCGCAGGTACCCTCTCCTCTCTGCTATGGTCCCCTGAGCCCAGGGCTTCGCACTGAGCTACCGACCTCTGCAGCCCCCTCATTTTATTTATTTACTTAGAGACAGGGTCTGACTGAGCTGCCAAGGGGCCCGGCAGGGCTCGTCCTGGGTGCCGGGGCTGGGATTCCAGGCCCGGGCCACCACGCCCGCCGACCTCAGTTTTAACTCAGGAAGTCTCGCATCTCTTGCAGGGCGGTCCCCGCGCTTTCATGTTCCTGCTCAGGCCTGATTTGCGCTGAATGAGCGGATGCAGGGATGGATGCAGGGATGGAAGGGCGGGCGGATGGGCGCAGGTCAGCCCTGTGCGGTTCTCAGAGTCCGAGCAGCAGACGGTTGTCCGGAACGTGTTCTGCTGCTGGGTCAGAACGGATGGAGGACCCTGTTCCCTAACGCACAGGGCGAAACCGTGCTCAGCGGTGCACACGACGCCTCCCGCTTTGTTAGTCAGAGAAGATCCAGGAGGCAGTTTCCCTAGGCGCAATTATCAGAATGCTTAAAGGACTGGGTGCGGCCGCGTCCACGGTTACCCACAGGCGCTTCGCGCCCGCTCTGGCCTGGCCTGGCCTTGCGGATGCAGAGTTGACGATCAGAGAAGTGTGGGGACCTCCGAGGCCCACACAGCCCGCTCTCCTCCTGTCTTCTGCGTTCCCCGCAGGTCCCGGCCGACAGCCTGCTCTGTCCCGCAGGCCCGGGGTCATGTCCCTCTTCCCGCGCCTCCGCCGGAACGAGGCCCAGGCCCGGTCGCCCCGCAGCCCGGCTGAGACGGTGCTGGAGACGCTCATGATGGAGCTGGCGGGGCAGATACGCGAGGCCGAGCGGCGGCAGCAGCGGGAGCGCGGCAGCGCGCGGAGGAGGGTCTGCAGCGGCGCGGACTACAGCTGGCTGGCCAGCACCGCGCGGCAGGCCCACGACCTCAGCCCAGGCGAGCGGCTGCAGCTGGAGGCCGTGTGCGCCAGGATCCACCCGTCCTACTGCGGGCCGGCCATCCTCAGGTAAGGCCTGGGCGGGCGACGACCGCCACCTGTCAGAGGAGCAGGCAGAACCCAGCGCGAGAGGCTCCGCGAGGACGGAGGGCAGCTCCGAGGGCGAGGCCTTCAGCGGGCTGCTCCTCCTGCGGGGTCCCTACTATCCTGGATTTTACCGTAGCTGCTGCTCCTCCACCAGGCTGTCTTCAGGTGCCCTTCTTAGACAGGGTTTCCCACACAGCCTGTCCAACATTGTTTCCTTATTTCGCTGTACTGAGGATTAAACTCAGGGCCTGAACTGAACTACAAACCCTGCTCTGTTTTATATTTTTAATTTGAAGACAGGGTCTTGTTAAGTCACTAAGTTGCCCAGGCTGGGCTCGAACTTTCTATCCTCCTGCCTCAGCCTCCCACAGAGCTGGCGTTGCAGGCATGTGCCACTTTGCCTGGCTCCAGTATTAATGTCTTAATATTCTACTTCATACCAACTTTTACACTGGCCTGCCGAAGGGGTGAGTGTCTGTGCACCTGAGTGTGCATGAACGCCAAGTTCACGGCCCTGGGGCACTGGCCATGTGAACCTTGTGTCCAGCAGTGCTCCCGAAATAACTGTGACCCCGAAGCAGCGACTTTCCTGTCCCTGTCCCCTTTGGATGCTGAGGTCAAAGAAGCAGGCAGGCAGTCCACTGATAAAGGATAGTCACATTCTTTATCTGCGCTTCTCTCCGAAACGGAATCCGAGCCCACAGCAAGACCCCTCAAGCGCCCGTAGAACCCTAGCCGCCCCTCTCCTCCCTTGAACCAGCACACACGCCGCTGCACACCACTTTCTTTGAAATCCCCCCTGAAAACCCAGTCCTGCCCCAGCCCCACCCCGACCCTGCAGCTTCTAAGGTCTCTAATACCTCGGCCCTCTTCTAGGCTGAGAATTTCAGCCTCCCCCTTTCGGCTTCTGCACCACGCGAACCCCCAATGCACCAACTCGGAAGCAGCAGGGCCGGGGTGGGGGAGCCCGGGGTCGGAGGGGGCCTCAAACCCGCGCGCAGAGGCGGGAAGGCCGCAGCACAGCTGTCACCTCTGGTCCGCAGGTTCCGGCAGCTGCTGGCCGAGCGGGAGCCTGCGGTGCAGGAGGTGTCGCTGCTGTTCCGCCGCGCGCTGCAGGAGGTGCTGGAGGCCAAGCGGCGGGAGGAGGAGGAGCTGCAGCGGCCCCGCGGCCTGGCCCCCTTCAGGGCCCGCGCGCGCGTCTCCCCCTTCGCCAGCGACATCCACACGTCGCCCGAGCGCGTGCAGCGGCCCGCACCCCCGCGCACCTGGAGCGCGCCCGACCTCCGGGCGCCCGCGGCCAACTGAGTCCCGCGGAGCGCGGGCCAGAACCCGGCAGGCTTTGCGTGGAGGCCCCGGCCCTGCCTCCCCGGCGGGGCGCTTCCGGGTCGCGGCGGCGCCACCGCTCGCTCGCCGCGCTTCCTCGGCCTTCGCCGCGCCTCCTCAGCCTCCACCGCACGCGGGCCTAACCCGGTAGCTTCCTCGAGGCTGGCGGGGATCCCCGCCCCGCCCGCCCCGCCCGCCCCTGGCTTCCGCCGCCTCGCTAACCGCAGGGCCAGAAACAGCCCCAACGTGAGCGTGGAAACTCCGCTAACTGGACCCAAGCCGCGGGAGGCCCAGCGACGCCTCAAAACCTCGAGCGGAAGGGGCGCTCGGAGGGGAGCTGGGGGGGGGGGCTGCTCTGCGGAGTGCACTTCCTGTAATAAACCCCGCCTTTCTTGCTGTGTGTCCCGCCCGGTTCTTGTTCAGGGTACGAGCGCCTGAGTCAGCTGTCCCGTCGGACCCCTGGTAGAGACGCTGCCCGCCATCTGGCCACATGGCCAAGCCAGCGCTGCAGGGCCCCTCCAGGTGGTGGCAGGCCCCAGCCCTACCTGGTCGGGAGGCGGGAGCTGCCCTGCTCTGAGCCCAGGCCCTGACGCCGCTCATCCCCTCGATGGGCAGCGCCCTCCTGTGCCGCGGCTGGCTCTGTGCCTTGCCCTGCGCCGGACGCCCACACGCACTGAGACTGCTCTTGTAGCCAAGGCCTCTACCCGAGTGCTTGGACCCCGGGCAACCGTGGACGGGTCCAGGGTGACATCCCGCCTCCTGTGGTGAGACCCGTCTCTTACCGTGGTCCGGGGGCAGTTGGGTCTCAGCTGGTCTCCAAGGAAGGCAGCTGGGGGTGCAAGTAGCTTGCGCAGTACCCGGCAGCACTGTGTCACCACGTGGGAAGTGGCCGGTCCCCCAGCCCGCAGGGCTCCTGCACCTCGTCACACCTGCTTCCTGGCTTTCCCTAGGAGCGGTCCAAACCACAGACCTCGAGGTGCCTGAGGGGGTGTCCGGAGTCACCGCCCCGAACGCCCTCTGTCCTGGGTCTCCCGACACATTCGCCTGCTGGTGGGCATGTGGACTGCCCAGCTCATCCACCGCCACTGGGCATGCAGTGCGGGCAGGAGCGGAGGGGGTCGGCCCCAGACGACCAGCGCATGCTCAGAAATGCACATGGATCTTGACAGGAGTCTAAATAAGAGGCAGATCACCAAGGGGAATCTACTCCCTGACCAAGCCCTGTGAGAAAAAATTCCTCTTTGATGATCTGGTTTTGGATTATTTTCACTGGAATCTGGGCAGAGAATCACAGGGTGGAGGAGACCTCTCATCCAGCGTTATCAAGTCGGAGTTGATTGGCTCATTAAGATAATTAGCGGAGGCTGTGACGCACTTAAAGACATTTACCTTAAACACGTATTTGGAGGACATTAAGACGTTCATTCAATGGCCATGCGTGGATGTGGTCCAAGCTGCGGCACTTTGTGGCACGTGTGAACTGCATGACGGGAGTTCTACGCTGCAGCTTGGTTCAAGTGTACTTTAGTTATGAGCACCAGCACAGGAAGTGGAAAGCCTTGGAACAAGCAGAAGTGACTCCGGGACGCAGACAGCCCAGGTGGAGCTGTCGAGAGCCAGCTGAGAGGCAGCTTGCAGAGGGAGCGGGGAGTCTGGGTCACTGGAGCGAGGCCCAGGGGAGGCTGGCGCAGAAAACTCCTATTTCCCTCCTTCCCTAGCACCCTCCGTGGATCTCTTCTCCCCCAAGAAAAGAAGAGGGTGTCAGCACGCTGTTCTTTTTTGGAAGTTGAAGATTGGCTGCCAATGAAAGCCTTCCCGGCCAGCCTCAGTCACGACAGGTAGAGCCTGCGGCCACCCCGCCAGCAGCACCCAGCTCCCCAGGGCTGGGTTCCTCCTCGGCCCTCAGCTCAGCTCAGCGAAGGGCTGGTGCTGTCTCATGTCTGCCTTTAAAAACAGAAGCAGAAAATAAAGGGACAAAGCCGTGCGGGCGCCTCCTTATGAGCACCGAGGGCCGGCGGGTGGCAGCAGAGGGGACGCTGCGCTCGGGGAGACTGGTGTCCGGGACGTGGCTCATGACCAAGCCACTAAGGCGAACGAGGAGTAGCACCAGTTCTTCCCCTGCGGTGCTTCTGGCCTGCTATGGAAAATAACCAACTGAAAAGCAGAGAGAAAACTGTAAGGCACTCACGTGCCTCCGTTACCAAGGCTTAATGATTATTATTTTGTCATATTTAAATTTATCAATTATCAGTTTTTGTGAGTTACTTTAGTGTGAATCCCAGACATTGTGGTACTTCCTATATAAGTATATTGCCACTGTCACTCTTCACAAAATTAATAGTAATTCCTTGATATTATCTAAAACCCAGTCCATATTCAAATTTCCCTAACCATCCCCAAAAAGTGATTCTCCCAAAAAGTTTACATCTTTGAGTGAGGATCTGATCTGGCCCACATGTTGATAAGAAAGTTACAGTCTGTTTTGCGCTGGTCATATGATGGTATTGAACTCCACAGCGAAGTGTTGTGTAAAGAGAGTGCTCATAGGATAGTGGCGCTGACATGTGCTAGTGAATGACTGCACACAAGTGATAATGATACTGCAAATTAACTTGAAAGATGCTTTTTACTCAGACCCTTGTTTAGGGTTTTATTAAAATCCTTTCACAGTAACCAAGATTCTCTAATACTTTGAAAAGTAACATTAGCTACTGATAGTGAAGATATATCAACTCTGGCTTTGCACTGGATGAAAACAGATGCATGTTTTTTCAAACTTTCGTAGGGACATATGCAAACACCCTAAAACCATGTCCCCTTTTCCTGCCACTTAAAACACTAAAATCTATCAAAATGAATCAAGAGAATTCTGAAGAATTCAAAAGATAAGCAATGAAAAGTTTATGTGTATTTTTTATGACATTATATACCATGTGATTAAATTTCCATCCGTGTTTTAGTGTTTATGTGATCCTCTAACAAAATAAAGTGTAACTTCAAAATTTATCCACAAATCACTTTTAGACAATTATTTTAAATTAATATAACAATTAATTTGTTAAAGAAGAAAACTGACATCTGTTTCTTTTTTGAATAGTATTACACATTGTGTTTTGAATAGTATTACATTAGCATTATAATGTCTGGTAATGGGCTAATCTAAAAAGTTACAAAAATCATTTGTTTGTCATATTTGAGGCAAAGCTAACAAAATGATTGTTTTAAGTTTCTGTAGATGCTCACGAGTTTGCTTGTTTGCTGCAGTACAGGGATTGAACAAGGGCCTTCACATGGAGCTATGCCTCCAGTCCTTTTTAATGTTGAACTAGGTTCTCAGTAAGTTGTCCAGGCTGGGCTCAAACTTGCCAATCAGGAGATTCTATATTACTGAGGTGGGTGTCCACAAGCCAGCAGAGGCTGCAGAGTTTCCCAGCATGTTTTATTGCATCCCAGTCAACCTTTTCCTTGCTGGAACAAATGTAATGTTCCCATAGCCCGGGCTCCCGTCCCAGCTAGAACGTGGTGCCAGGAAAATTACATTCCAGAGAGAGCCTATTCCTCCCCCGTTAGCTGAGGTAACTGACACAAGCCTGCAGGCCAGGAGCTTCCAGGGAGCCTGTCAGGTACCTGCTCAGAGCCAGGGGACTCTGGTAGGCTCCAGAACCCAGGACAAAGCAGATAAAATTGACGTTAGCCTCTCCCCAGGAGAAAGGAAACAGCCACCAGCCAAACAAGGTGCACAAAATGCAAAGGAATGGGAGGAATGCACCTACTAGTCACACACTTGCCCTATAATATTGCTGTGACAGTGCTGTCACCGAGAGGTCCTTTATCAGCTTTCGGGTGGTGCAGTAAACAAAGAGCTTTCACCCACTCTCATTGAGCTGACCGGGAGCTGAAGTGCACTATGTGTGGTCTCCTGAGGGTCCGTGCGAGTGGCCGCCTAGGGTCAGAAGCCAGGGTCCCCTCGGAGTGCGGCACTGCCTGTCCACACTGTACGGCCCTTGTGGCCCTGACCGGTCCCTGGAGTCCTCCATCACTGCATGCTGTGTGCAGGTTTGCAGTCACTCTTTCCCGCCACTCTCCTGTCTCCAGTGGTCTGTGAAATTCTTACCTGCAGGAACCAGGGCTTCTGTCTGCATCCCCACCCCAGGCACACATACCGCAGGTAGGTACTTCACAAATGCACTTCCTCAATGGGTGGGTGTATATGGACAGCCACACACAGCTTACCCAGGGCAGAGGCAGAGGGAAGAGACGGGTGAACATGGAGGCAGCTCTGAGGCGCCTGGATCATTCTTTAGACATAAGTTCCTTGAGGCCACAGTCCAGGTCTAATTTCAGTTTGTACTCCCAAGATGTGCCTGACACACGGTAAGTAGCCCACACACTTAAGGATCCATTCATTCACTTGTCACATATGCACCGATCCTCTGTGTAGGAGCCCTGAAGAAGGGGAGATGGGAGGGTGGCCGTCTGTGAGTGATCCAGCGAAAGGAGATGGAGCTGGGCTTGTAGTTCTTCTCTGAATTGCTCTGGAAGCCCTCTTGGAGGAGGCAGAAAGTCTCAACGGCGCCTCTGGTCACAATGACCAGGGTATGTGCAGACTCAAAATAAATCCAGATTGCTATGATCCTGCATTCTGCCAGTGCCTCTCCCTGCTTGACCTGGGCCTTGACAGAGATTCTGCTACTTAACATTTCTAGAAATGGGTTCCCTGGAGAGAGGCGGCTCGACTCTGGAAACACAGCTATGCATCACATAGCGACATTTCAGTTAATGACAGATCACACGTACCACTGTGGTTCTGTAAGATTATGACAGCTGAGAAATTCCTGTTGCCATCGGAATGTCACACACAACACGGCACTCATGTGACCAAGGGGATGCTGGCGTGAACAAACCTACTGTGCCGCAGCTGTATAAAACACAGTGCACAGTCAAGCGCAGAACATTATACTTGATGGTAATGAAAACAAATGACTATTTTACATTTACAATACTTTTTGTTGCTGCTTCAGAGTGTCCTGCCCCTACCTCTAGGAAAAAACGCTAACTGTGAACAG